CTCAGCTGGTTAAGCGTCCAACTTCAGCTCAGGTCATGATCTCGAGTTAGTAAGTTCGAGCCCCGCATCAGGCTCTCTGCTGTCAGCATGGAGCCCACTTCAGATCCTCTCTCCCTCCCCTGCTTGCTCTTTCTCTCAAAAAATAAACTTAAAAAAAAAAAAATTAACTGTTAATATTCACTAACTCCTGAAAATAGTTAAATTACCTATTTTCTAGAACTTTAATGTCTAAAGTCTAGACAACCTAATGGAGTATACAAAGGTTAATAGCTATATTTACCATTACACTATATTTACATGATAAATTCTTTAGTTGTTGACCATATGCTTTTTATTATGTTTTTTTAAAATCTTCTTGATTTCTGGGGCTCCTGGGTGGTTCAGTCGGTTAAGCATATGACTCTTGGTTTCAGCTCAGGTCATGATCTCGCTGTTCAAGACTTCAAGCCCCGTGCACTGTTAGTGCAGAGCCTGCTTGGGATTCTCTATCCCTCTATATCTGCCCCTCCCTGGCTCTGTTTTTCTCTCTCTCTAAACAAATAAACTTAAAAAAATCTTGATTCCTCACAAATTATATCTATGAATTATTAAATCTGCCACAGCACAATGGAAATAAATGGACTGGTGTCTTAACAGCATAAGAAAGCTACACTGAAGCAGGGGGTGAGAAATAATTTAAGTGTGCAAACATTTGAGACATGCAGAACAGAGGGCACATAGCCCCAGGGCCGGGCTCCCTGTTCTCAGAAAGAACAGACCAAGTACCCAATGTAGCTGGTAATACATTCTGCCATGTTTCATATGGCCAGATCACAGTCTGTCTGAGACTCCTGGAAGGAGCCCACACCACAAAAGCCACAGTGCTATATAGGACAGCCCTGATACACTAGTTGTGAGAAAATTTTGCTTCCATTGTTACACTGAGGCTGTTTTACCAGACAATAGACTAATTTATGGGGAGAAATTGCAGCCTGGTGTTAACAAGGGGCCCCAACTAAGAAAAAGAAATCCATAGCTGCTCAATTTTATGGATATTATTTTTTTATTTTTCTAAGTAGGCTTCATGCCCAGTGCAGAGCCCAATGCAGAGCTTGAACTCATGACCCTGAGATCAAGACTTGAGCTGAGATCTAGAGTGGGACGCTTAACCAACTGAGCCATCCAGACACCCCTGGGTATCATTTTAGATTAATTTAGTATGAACACCATTTTAACAATCATCCAACTCTATTTCATTGCTACTGAATGCAGTAATCATAACATGGGAAAATAGCATTGGGACTCCATACCTCAATTCCAAGTACCAAATATCAATAAGAATTTAGCCACATATAGTCTATATTAAGAACTTAATACTTGTTTAGGCACTAGCATTAAGATCCAATGTCAACTGGGAGAGGGGAGCAATGAAATATTTTCAAGACAAAGTGCTTATAGGACTGAGCTAAGACCTATACCTTCTTGGGGGGAGGAGGTGGTTTCTGTTGGAAAGCCAATTTTACAGCTTCTGCTGCTGATTCAGGTTCTTTAATTATGCTTTTCTTGGAGTCTGCTTCAGATAGCACAACAAAAAAATGATGACATTTTTCACACTTCACAAAGCGGGTGGATGCTGTAAAAGGAAAGGTCAGCAGAGAAAAATAAATAATTCAAATAGCATTTAACATTAAAAACTCACTGTAAATGAAAACTATACACTTGACAAAAAGTAGGTTTGTAGTTCCTTCACTAGACACAACAAACAACCTAGTTTACATCTAAGATAGATGATACAGATAAATGAGTTCATTAAACCACATTTTGTTCATTTCCACTAGGTTGTTTCATTTTGTGATATACTTCATTAAGAGAAAAGATTGGCTGACATTCTTTCAACTTCCCATTCATTAAATTTAATTTTAAAAACAACCACTATAAAAATATTAATCACTTATTTTATTGAAATACTTGAATGAAAAACTGTGAAAAAAAAGTAAAGCACAAGTAAATTATTCTATTTTTTCAACATTTCCTTATGAAAAACTTCAAATATACACAGAAGTTAAAAGAGAGAAATCAGGAGTGCCTGGGTGGTTCAGTCAGTTAAGCATCCAACTTTGGCTCAGGTCATGATCTCGCAGTTTGTGAGTTCGAGCCCCAAGTCGGGCTCTGTGCTGACAGCTCAGAGCCTGGAACCCGCTTTGGATTCTGTCTCCTTCCCTCTCTCTGCCCACCCCCTTGTGCTCTCTCTCTCAAAAATAAATATTTAAAAAATAATAATAAAAGAAATCAACTCCAATCACCCAGAAAAAGGGAAAAAAAAGTATATTCTTTAGGTTCCTTTCAAACCTATGAGCATTTTTAAAACCATGATTTGGTAAACATAAAATTGTTTCATGCCTTCCTAATTTTTATCTTTAACAACTCCACTAGTTCTTATTTCTTTAGCCTAAAAACCACTAAGAAACTAACAAAATAACATTCTCACTCATACTGACTTATAGATAATCATACAGCTTTTGAAAACAATAAAATAACAATTAAAAATGAGGGTAAAAAAAGTGTCTCAATTCCAATGCATCAGCTATAGAATAACCTATGTTAAACCCAAGTGGATTTTTTTATCTCCTTTTAAAACACAGCTGTAGGATATATGTATATGGACATAAACTCTTAACCTTCTCTAAGCCTACCCCTACTAATGGTAAAGGTACCTTGGAAAGCAGCACAGAAGAGACTCTCACACAGATTACTAACAGATACAGAACAAAAGATACATAGGAATTAGTTACAGGTTGGTAGGTCTGGGTAATACATTTTTGTATTAACCTCTGTGTAATCTAACTAGAAAAACTGCAAAGAAGAATATTTAAATCTATGAGAATCTCTCTTATGGGAGTAGTGTAACTACCTATTCATAGATTACAAGAAAAACTGTACTGGTAAGCACACCTAAATCTCACAAAATAATCTATATTAAAAAAAACCCAGACAATTCCATATTTCAAAAATAAATCTAATTATTAATTCAATCTAATGCTTATTTGTCTATTCTTAAACACAAGGCCAATCAAAAATACGTCTGGATAAACTCTAGCAGCAAATTTTAAACTAGAAAAGAGATCATCCATGTTTTCTTTGTATTAATCACCTATAAATGCTTACCTCAAGAAAAAGACCAAACTATTCCAAGTACCTTTGGTTTACACAAGCCCCAATACATTATCACCATTTCCCACCATTGGGAAAGATAGTCAATGGCCTTTACTCTAAAATGAAGCTGCATCTTACAATTGTTACTGATGGTAAACAGGGCAAGGATTAAAGGGCAGAGAATCCTCTGATCTAGTTCAGGCTGTTTGACAGGAAAATCTGGCCTGAGAACATAAGAACAAAATATTTCTCTAAAGAAATTAGGTCAAAGGGAAAGAGACTAAACACCAACAAATCTCATTCCTCTTTGCTTACCACAGATGAGTTATTTACATTCTATTTGAATATCACAATACCAATTTGACGATGGAACATGTTCAATGTATACCCAGGTTAATTTTATTTATCAAAATGCTGTCTCAGAAAAAAAAAATAATACAAGCACTGCAATGCTTATTTTTTACTCATACAGACAAGTGGCAAAATCTAATTTTGTTGAATTGTCAGGGAATAAACTTTCCTTTAAATGATTACTACAAGTATACTATATTCTTTTACATACAGAATACTAATCCCAGTAAACATGCTTGTATTATATGCCAACAATAGATTACCTCAGTAAAAACTCTCTCATATTTGTTGAAATGAAAGTTCTTCATGATTTCGAACATGTTTCAGGGCCCAACATTAAATCTCCAAACCAAACAGAAAAGTTTAATTCCTACTGTATTAAGACATGTAAGTACAGTAAGCCTTCAAAAAGTATTATATACATAAAAATAAAAACAACTAAAATAAATAAAAGTGGGGAGACTATTCACATTTGACAAGTTATTATTTAAATAGGCAAAAGAAAACTGAAGAACAATATACATTTGTCCTTATAATAAAATATTTCTTAGATATTATTCTTACTTCAATTCCTGATGACTTTCTATGCATTCATAATGCTATCTATAAAAATGGTATTTTATTTCCACAAAGTCAAACAAGAATAATACCACAGTAAGAGAACATAAAAATCCCTACATATACATGTGAGATGGAATATATACATGTGAGATGGAATATATACAGACAGGTCCATGAGCTAATAGTTCTTACACTTTGGGAAAAAATGACAATAAAAGTTATATGAAATTCAAATTTCAGTGTCTTTATACAAAGTTTTATAGGAACACAGCGATGCTCATTTGTTTACATTGTCTATGATTGCTTTCTCCCCATAACAGCAAAGGAGAAGAGTTGCAACACTGACTACAGGGCCCACAAAGCCTAAAATATTTACTATTTGGCCTTTCATAGTAAAAGTTTGTTGACTCCTGCTATACAGTATTTATAGGAAAGAACTACCCATAGAATGAAAGAATATGTTTGCAAATCATACATCTGGATAAAGGTCTAGTATTCAGAATATATAAAGAACTCTGTAACTTAACAACAAAAAAGATAACCCAATTTAAAAATGGACAAAGGATTTAAACAGTCTTTTCTACAAGAAGATACACAAATGGCCAATAAGCCCATGAAAAAAATGCTTAACATCTTTAGTCATTAGAGAAATGCAAATCAAAACCACAATGAGATGCCACTTTGTATCTCTATGATGGTTGCGATAAAAAAGAGCAGTGTTAAAGAACATGTTGAGAAATTAGAACCCTCATACATTGCTAGTCAGGTTGTCAAGTGGACAGAATAACATAGGTTATTCTATAGCTGATGTAAAGTTTGGTAGTTTCTTAAAAAACTAAACACAAACTTACCATTTCACTCAGCAATTCTACTCCTAAGCATATACCCAAGAAAAGTAAAAACACGTACACACACAAAAACTGGTATACAAATGTTCACAGTAGCATTATTCATAGTAGTCAACAAGCAGCAACAGCTCAAATGTCCATCAATGATGAGTGGATACACAAGGAATACTATCAGCCACAAAAAGCAATGAAATACTGATACATAATAGAACACAGATGAACCCTGGAAACCTGAAAGATGAAGGCAAAAGAAGCCAGCATATTGTATAATTCTATTTATATGAAATACCTGGAATAGACAAATCCATAAAGACAGCAAGTAGGTTTATGGTTGCCAGGGAGGGGAGGGAAAGGGGTAGAAAGTGACTACTTAAGGGGGATGGGGCTTCTCTTTGGGGTGACAAAAACGTTCTGGAATTAGATAGTAGTGATAGATCTAAAACTTGATGAATATACTAAAAACCCCTGAAATGTACACCTTAAAAGGAAAGGACTAGACCTGTATATATCAGCATACAACTCTAAAAAAATTGCTGACGCGAGGGGCACCTGGGTGGCTCAGTCGGTTGAGTGACCGACTTCGGCTCAGGTCATGATCTCACGGTTTGTGAGTTCGAGCCCCGCATCGGGCTCTGTGCTGACAGCTTAGAGCCTGGAGCCTGCTTCGGATTCTGTGTCTCCCTCTCTCTCTGCCCCTCCCCCACTCATGCTCTATCTCTGTCTCAGAAATAAACATTAAAAAATTTTTTTTTTAAATTGCTGAGGCGAAATAAAATTGGTAAAAACATGAACAATTTGATACCATTTATGCTTTTTAAAAGTTACATGTTTGATGAAGACACATTGCAGAAATGTATCTTTAACTTTTACCTACAAAGTTCTACCTTTTTTTTTTTTATAAAGGAAGATACACACATACATTCCTCAGGTAATTAAAAATAATTAAAAATGACCAAAAAAAGTAGATAGTTATCTAAACATGCCATTCATGGGGTGCCTGGGTGGCTCAGTCGGTTGAGCATCCAACTTGGGCTCAGGTCATGATCTCACGGTTTGTGGGTTTGAATGCTTGTGTCGGGCTCTGTGCTGACAGCTCAGAGTCTGGGGCCTGCTTCAGATTCTGTGTCTCCTCCTCTCTCTGCCCCTCCCATGCTCATGCTCTGACTCTCAATAATAAATAAACTTCAAAAAAAAAAAAAAATCTAAACAGGCCATTCACAAAAGAACTACAAGTGACCAAAAAGCACATAAAAAGATGTTTATGAACCAGTAACTAAATAAATGCAGATGGCAAACAAAATGAATGGCCCAAGATTCAACAAAACTCTCCAATTTTCAGTGAGTAGACACAGAAGATCCTCAGCATCCAAAAGAGATGCATTCTGAAGAGACTTGTACTATGGGTGAATAAAACCAAGAGAGGAGGGCCTCATCTCACTGTTGAGGGCCTACCACTCCTATGGAGTAAAGTTCCAGAGGATAAGACAGCGTCATGTTCATCTCTGTTTATTTTCTGAGCCTGGCAGTGTCAGTCTCAACAGATATTTGCTTACTAAATTATTTATAAGGATCTACTCTTCTTTTACTCTTTTCTTCCCTATTCTCTACTTCCACATCCCCTCTCCCCAATTAGAATTCTCAAAGGAAACCACTTCAGCCCTAAGTTGATTAGATAATATTAAAAATCGTGTTTTCCACACTTGGTCTCATTGTTAAACATAAATATTCTAGGATACCACCCAACATCTACAGAATCTTATCTCCAGGGAAGGAGAGAATCTGTATGTTCAAGAACCACCTTGGGGTGCCTGGGGGGCTCAGTGCCCAGCTGGCTCAGTTAAGCTAAGCATCTGACTCTTGATTTCAGCTCAGGTCATGATCTCAGGTTTGTGAGATTAAGCCTCACATTGGGCTTTGCATTGACAGTGAGGAGCCTACTTAGGATTCTCTCTCTCAAAAAAAACCACAACCAACCACCCTCAATGATTAATACAACCTGGCAAGTTTTGAAAACACTGTGTAGAAGAAAAATAAATTTCATCTATCCCTAGAGAATTCCAGTTGGTAAAAATGTATGGAATAGGAATTTCTGAATAGCAAATCTTCACTGCTCTGTGACCCTGGATGAGTTACTTACACTTGCTAAAATCTTAGCTTCTTCACTAAGCTAAGAAAATGAGGATATGCTCTCTCCTGACAAAAGTAAGATTGTGAGAATAAAATTATATATACTGGCATTTATTAAATATTAGTTTCTTTCCTTTTCTACTCTAAGAAATTATTCTTTAAGTCTACAAAGATTGAAATCTTTCTCTGGAAAAAAAAAGAAAATTCTTGATTAAAAATGTATGCCAATAGGACATTGCCATTATGAACTGAGCAATTCTCAGACTCTCTAAAAGAATTTTATCGCTTCATACCAGATTTGTTAATAGCAAATGTTATTTAGAAGTTTTATCATCTAGTTCTACCACTTTCATTTTATGTTGCAACCAAATTAGTATTCATTCAGACTGATTCCTCTCTTTGATCTCTTATGAGGCAAAACCACGAAGAGAATCTCAAACATTCCACCTACAGAATGGAACGACTTCAAAAGTCTTTCCAAAAATTGTAAAAACATGCTACATATAGTACTTTCTCATACAGTGGCCAATTAGTATTAATAATAAACATAAAACTGTAACTGAGATCTCAATATTTGGGATAGCATATAGAGAATCCTCTGCAGCTAATCATCAGAAACTGAAACTTCTGACAAACCTCACCAATGACCTTTTCAGTTTGACTATACAGAAAGGCTGACATGGTAGTGTAACATAATTTACTCTTGAATTACCATTACCTCTAATCATGTAGGAAATGAGTTGTTTGATTCATGAAACAAAAGATCTGTAGTAGCATCTTTGTATTTCAGAGAGTTACTGCTGACACTAACAGCAAAAGTGGGACTGTTGATTTCTTCCTTCTCTCAGTGTCTGAATCATTAATAATTATCACACACTTTATAGAATTAAGGGTTTAGTTCCTCTGGTTCCTCAGCGAGGGAAAACACCTTAATATTTGAATGACCGACCTCTCCAGCTATATGAGATGCTCAACAGGTATTTGAAGAATAGAGTAATAACAGAATAAATACACCTTGGTTCTCCTATAGCTCAAATTTGAACACTCACAAAATCCAAATTTGAAATAAACACACACGTGGAAAATAAATAAATAGTTTTCTTAAATTATTTCTTATACCACATTGCAAAGTATTACCAGTTATGGGGATTTTTAGTATCTGGTGAACATAAGGGAGAATCATGTTAAGTTCAGGAAGAACATAACTCTGGTTTATGTAATTTACACATTTCTATGCAATTTGTGATTTGTAGAAAAGGTAAGGAAGAAAAACAACAGAGAAAGTAATACTTACACACGAAGGTCTCTACATGAGTGCACAAGTCGCCACATTTAGGACAACGCAGCTGGTTTCCACCTTTCCCTGAACTCCCAGAGCCTGATTTTTTACTGTTTCCCTCACTTGCTGATTTCTAATGTTCATACAGGAGAAAAAAAGAGTGTCAATTATTACTTTCAGGCAACCAATTTATAGGTAAGTTAAATATAAGCATGTTAGCTTGTAATTAATCTTATAATTTTTATAATTTCTAGAGTGGAATTATTAGTATTATTAATAACTCTACTATTACTGGTATCAAAAGATCCATTTACCACAAAAACAAAACCAGTTCTGGTAAACACATGTATTTATCTGTAGTCCTGCTTTACATGGTATGAGCCAGCATATATAATAAACAGCTTTCTTTCCATGACTCAATCAACACTAGGAAAAAAAGTTACTACAGGTAAAATACATTTCAGTGAAACTGTATCAGGAGCTACTATCATGACAAGTAGTGATTCATAACTTTCTTCAATCTCTAAAATGGGGATTTTCTCATCTCTAAAATGGGGATAATTTTACCTACTTTAGAGAGTCATTGTTAGGATTAAGTGTGGATATCAAAGCACCTAGCATTTTGTCTTATATATAACATTAGCTCAAGTGTTAGTGAAATTCACATAATGAAAAAAATTGATAATAATTCCTTGATCCAATACAATCACTGATCATCTACTTGCTAGCTACAGAGTAACCCAACATTAAGTTGTAGAGATATCCAAAATTTTTAGGTAGAGAATGAGGTGGGGTTTATACTATCATGAATTGTTAAGAGTTGTGAAAAAGACGGCTATTCCTAATTTAATCCTACAGACTGCATAGATTTAAAAAAAATTTTTTTTCAACGTTTATTTATTTTTTTTGGGACAGAAAGAGACAGAGCATGAACGGGGGAGGGGCAGAGAGAGAGGGAGACACAGAATCGGAAACAGGCTCCAGGCTCTGAGCCATCAGCCCAGAGCCTGACGTGGGGCTTGAACTCACGGACCGCGAGATCGTGACCTGGCTGAAGTCGGACGCTTAACCGACTGTACCACCCAGGCGCCCCCAGACTGCATAGATTTAATGAAGCTTCTTAATACTTTGGAGTGTTAGGAATTTTAGTTAATGCTAAGTGCAATACTTATATAACTAATTTATGGTTGAAACTAAAACACAAAATAAAATTACATAAAATTCTTCACCTGATTTTATATATTTCACATTTCCTACAGAAAACATATAAACCAATGGAATAGAGAAAACTATTATTACATTTAATTGTTTGAAGGAAGGAACTCAAAAAATATGTATATATTCCAATAAAGATAAGATACCTTATTTCCATCTCCAGAGCCATCTTTACTTATCCCATCTTTTGATGCAAAGTATGCTGGTGTTTCTGTAAAGGTTCTAAAGGGAGCTCTTCGTAGAATCTGAGTTTCAAAGGTCCCGAGCCTTCCTAAAACAGGTATATGAATGCGACCACAAGATATACCTAGAAATACAATGAGATTTATTAGTCTACACATCAAACATTAACATGCCTTCAGTGAATCCCCTGAAAACAAAAATTCCTTAAGTATAAAGGAGGTTGAAAAAACTGTCGTTTTCACAGAGGTGTAACAAAATGGTAAATGGTGACACCATCAGAGGCAAAGCCCCTTTAAAAATAGGCCAGACCGGGGCCTCTGGTAAATAAAGATGTTTCTTTCTGGGCCTGTCCTTTGATAGTGAGGAAAGACCATTTGGGTTATTGCAATGAGTGGCTCTTTGAAAGTGTGAGAGATGAGGGGCGCCTGGGTGGCGCAGTCGGTTAAGCGTCCGACTTCAGCCAGGTCACGATCTCGCGGTCCGTGAGTTTGAGCCCCGCGTCAGGCTCTGGGCTGATGGCTCGGAGCCTGGAGCCTGTTTCCGATTCTGTGTCTCCCTCTCTCTCTGCCCCTCCCCTGTTCATGCTCTGTCTCTCTCTCTGTCCCAAAAATAAATAAAAACGTTGGAAAAAAAAAAAAAAGTGTGAGAGATGAGCAGTTCAACATCTGCCTAATCTGTAGGGGAAAAAGGCCATTTACACCCTATATTCTAATTCTTCTTTTATTATTTCTATCAATGAGAATAAACAATTGACATAAACACATGTGTTTTAATGAAACATTTCAATCCTATAAAAAATTTTAGTAAACACTATAACCACTATCTTGCTTTCAAATATTTTAACCTTTACCATGTATTTTTTTAAATTTTTAATGTTTATTTATTTATTTATTTATTTTGAGGGAGAAAGAGCGTGAGCAGGGGAGGGGCAGAGAGAGGAGAGAGAATCCCAAGCAGGCTCCACACTGTCAGTGCAAAGCCTGATGTGGGGCTTGAACTCACAAAGTGTGAGATCATGACCTGAACTGAAATCAAGAGTTGGATGCTCAACTGAATGAGCCACCCAGGTGCCCCTTACCATATTTGAAGTTAAGATTATTAAAAAGGATATAGGTTAACCCCTGACTTATGTGGCAGACTTTTTCTGTAAAGCACCAGGATGGTAAATATTTTCAGCTTTCTGGGCCATCTAGTCTCAGTTCCAACTACTCTGTCTGTAACATGAAAACAAACAAACAATATGTAAACAAATGGGTGTGGCCAGACTTGGTCCATCAAAAGATCACTGTTGGCTGAACCCTGTTTTTTTTTCTCATATAAATACAAAATAAACTCCTAAATAAACTATAGTCAATGGCAAAAGAGCCATAATGTAAGGCAGCATTTCCCAAGTTGGTCTTTAAAAGAGTGTTCCCTACACAAGAAAATCAAATGATCTTAGATCAAACAAAATTCCACAGATTCAGTACTGAATATTGTAGGGCTACTCAGAACCCTGCATAAGTTAACATACATTAGTGAATTATAATGAATCGCCAAAGAAAGAAGTTTCCCAGCAGTTTATCACAGCCATTAGGAGGTGATAACAAAACGGGGGAAGGGCATTAAGTTAATACTTAAATAAATTTAAGAAACTGATTTTATCTCCCTCGTTTTGTTCCCTGCAAAATTCTCAACCCAGGCTTTAAATTCTTATTTCTTTACAAGTTAGGGCTTTTAAGAGATCATGCACATATGCATGTACTATATCCAAACACAAAAATTGGTTTAAAATTACATCCTTTTAACAACTCAAAAGCAATTGTTTAGTTATATAACTGACTGACTTTATTAACTCCAGTTTTCCAAAACATTTGTGTACACTGTTAGAACTAGTTTCTAACAAAAATAAAAACATCAAACTTAACAGGAAAGATACAAAGTTTCTCATCTCTACAGAATTCACAAACACTAAAAAAGGAATAAGATTTATGACACTCTAGTCCCTAATCCATAGACTGTAAAATGCTGCTGAATGCTAATTAAGCTAATTAGTGCTGATCAATTAATGCTTAATTAATGGATATCAATATTAAAATACATTTGATGTTTTTCTTCTAAGTGATGTTTTCAAAAGACATTTCAAACTTTCTCAAGCATAACATTTGCCATTTTTTTTGCAGTAAATGATAGCTATTACTCTCATTAGAATGAGATTTAAAGTAGTTCATGAATTTTAAGCCAAACATTAATGATTTTCAAAGGACATAATATGATTAAACATAATATGGTTTAATATGTCAATCTAAAAAGCAAATCTAGAAAAGCAATGGGGGAAAGTGATAGATGAAATGAAGAATAGAGAAACTTGAGGTGCCTGGATGACCTCAGTCCGTTAAGCATCTAACTCTTTGGTCATGATCTCACAGTTTGTGAGATTCTCTGTCTCCCTCTCTCTCTTTGCCCATCCCCACTCACACCGTTTCTGTCTCTCTCTAAATAAAAAAATACGAAATTTAATGGATGTTAAGACTAGGTGATGGGTATTTGGGTGTCCCTTGTTCCATTTTGCATGTTTTAAAACATCCATAAATTAAAATGAATGGTAGCATAATAAAATAATTTACTATAATCTATGTAACAAGTATAACTTTTTAATCAAACCATTACAACGTATTCGCAAAAAAAACTACAGTTACAACAAGCTTTATATCAGACTATGTACTTGGATGTTTAGAATAAAACTTAACCTTCAAGTATCACACACAGTGTATTAATTCCCATTTACAATAAAATACATCTTTTGGGGCGCCTGGGTGGCTCATTCGGTTAAGCGTCCGACTTCAGCTCAGGTCACGATCTCCCGGTCCATGGGTTTGAGCCCCGCATTGGGCTCTGGGCTGATGGCTCAGAGCCTGGAGCCTGCTTCCGATTCTGTGTCTCCCTCTCTCTCTGCCCCTCCCCCGTTCATGCTCTGTCTCTCTCTGTCTCAAAAATAAATAAACGTTAAAAAAAAAAAATTAAAATACATCTTTTAAAATTGTGTTTAACAATTTATCATAGCTAATATTATTAGAAAATAAGCTGAAAATAAATTATCTTCAAAAATTTAAGAGAAATAAAAATTATGAACAAGAACCTTTCAAAGTCTACTTATTCTGAATAGAAAGAAAAATAAGTCCTTCACTTAAATAACTTACCAAGTAACATATAAAACCAATGCAATCATACAGTTACCATAAAAAAATACTGTCTGAAAAACATGTTCATGTCATTTAAATTTCTAAATTTGAGAATTTCTTGGCTGGCTCTGATGCAGTTTTAACATTCTATGCATAGCACGGATTGCAAGGTGTATTCCCTGGTTCTGACTCAGAAGGTTGCAGGTGGGATCCAATAAAGCATTTCTTTTTTTGTTTTGTTTATTTTTGAGAGAGCGAGAGCAAGAGCGAGAGACAGAGTGCACTGTGCACAAGCAGGGGAGGGGCAGAGAGAGAGAGAGACAGAGCCAGAGAGCCAGAATCCAAAACAGGCTCCAGGCTCCAAGCTCTAAGCAGAGTTTAATGCCAGGTTCAAACTCACAAACTGTGAGATCATGAACTGAGACAAAGTTGGACACTTACCTAACTGACTGAGCCATCCAGGTTGCCCCCAAGAATGCATTTCTTTTCTTTTTTTTTTTAAAGCAGGATAAATTATTTTCTTTTAGCAGGGGCAGGGAAGCAGCAAAGGGAGAGGGAGGGGAAAAGAAAGAGAAAAAGAGACAGAGAGAAAGAGAGAGAGAGAGAATCTTAAGCAGGCTCCATGCTCAGTGAAGAGCCTGACACAGGGCTCAGTCCCATGACCCTAGGAGCATGACTTGAGGCAAAATCAAGAGTCAGAAGCTCCATCCACCGAGCCACCCAGGTGCCCCCCACCCCCACCAAGAATGCATTTCTAACAAAATGCCAGGTTATACTGATGATGTTGGTCTGGGACCACACTTTTTAAACTACTGTATTGAACAGTATAAACGATTAGTAACTCACCAATCCTCTAAAATCTTCACAGAAATCACTGTAACAACCTAACCAGGATTTTTAAATCCTTTTTATGCCATGAACCCCTTTGGGAGTCTGGTGAAGGGTACGTATGGACCCCTTCTCAGAATGTTTATAAATGTATAGAATAAAATACATAACAAAGGAAACCACCTGTATTGAAGTAGTTATCAAAATATTTTTAAAATATGCTTCTTGCCAACATCATACTTAATTGGTGGAAAATGGAGAGCTTTTCCTCTGAGGTCAGGGGGAAGATAAGGATGTCCACTCTCACCACTTTTATTTAACATAGTACTGGAAGTCCTAGCCACAGCAATTAGACAAAATAAAGAAAATAACGCATCCATGTTGGTAAAAAAGAAGTAAAACTCTACTTGTAGATGACATGTATAGTATATGTAGAAAACCCTAAAGATTCCACCGTAAAACTACCAGAACTGATAAATGAATTCAGTAAAGTCACAGGATACAAAGCAATGTATAGAAATCTGTTGCATTCCATATACACCAAAAAAGTGAAACAACAGGAAGAGAAATTAAGGAAACAATCCCATTTACAATTGCACCATAAACAATAAAATATCTAGGAATAAACTTAACTAAAGAGGTGAAAGAAAGACCTGTATGCTGAAAACTATAAAACGCTGATGAAAGAAATTCAAGACGATGTGAAGATATGGAAAGACATTCCATGTTCATGGGCTGGAAGACAAATATTGTTAAAATGTCCATACTATCCAAAGCAATCTACAGATTTAATGCAATCCCTATGAAAATACCAACAGCATTTTTCAAGTAACTAGAACAAACAATCCTAAAATTTGTATGAAACCACCAAAGACCTCAAATACCTAAAGCAATCTTTAAAAAGAAAACTGGAAAGATCACAATTCCAGACTTCAAGTTATATTACAAAGCCGCAGTAATTAAAACAGTATGGTATGGGCATAAAAATAGACACATAGGTCAATAAAACAGAAAGAAAAACCTAGAAATAAACCCAAAATTATATGGTCGATTAATCTTCAACAAAGCAGGAATGAATACACAATGGGAAAAAGTCTCTTCAACTGTCAACATCCCAAAGGGTGTTGGGAAAACT